GAGATCTCATTTTAACCTCTTACTTACTGTTTTGGATTTTTTGTCATTTTTGCGCGTTATAACGCATTATAATAAAATCTCCCAAAGCACTTAGTAGTGATAAAATTGGAAATTAAGAAACAGTGCAATGCAGAAAATCAGCTCAACACTTTGCAACCAGAAGCAATAAGCATATTCAAGAGCTCCACATTGGTTTTGCAGAAGTACGTGTGTGTGTGTGTGTGGGAGAAATGAGGAGTATGATTATGCATGGCACATAATACACTAAACATAAAAATTAAAAAAGCAAGCAAAGCATTTGCCTGGTTTTTAGGTGAAAGGGAGACCTGTAATTCAATGTTTTATTACAAGGATGGTGCCTTTAAACTGTTCCTTTTCTCTCTTTCCCACCCTCCACCACCCAAGAGGGTTAGGGAGCTTGTCTGCTATCTCTTCTGACAGCTGGGGCAGCTGTCAGCAGCATGACCAGAAACACCCTCTGCACCAGAGGTGGTTCTCCAAGGCAGTAGGAGAGCTCGGGGGAGCCCTGCATTTAAAAGTGGGCACTATCACCAGCCTAATTTGGTATCAGGTACCTGCATAAGCAGTTCAGGTCCAGCTGGCACATGGCTGCATGCCAGGACTGCCTGGTAAGTCTGTTACACACAGATAATTCTTCGTGAAAGCTGCTCCATAAAAGAATGCATCATCTAGGCAACATCTAAAAACAGAAGAGGTTTAGGATCTTCACATCTGGAAGACGTACATCTCAGTATCAAAAATATTGATGTTTTGCTTAGCACAACCTGCCTCCTACTGAATCCCAGGACCATGCTGTGACAGCAAAGGGAGATCCCAGCAATCCAGCGTCACCTTGCACCATACCTTGCAGCAGAGAATGAAGTCCCAGGCACAATTTCTGGTCCCCTACTGAGATCAGACTGCCTGAGTAGCAAAGACCTGGTTGGCAGGAGATTAAAAACAGTCTCTCCCCGAGAGTGCTCAAAACCCCTGTCCTAAAGGTGAGTATTTCACCAGCTGGTATGGAGATTCAATTTCCACAGTCTTTATACGCAGCAGGCAGGCAGAGGAAGCTGTGAAAAAGACAAGATTCCCCATTGCTGTATGTTTTTTCCATTTAAATAAAACTGATTTAGGTTGTACTAGCACAGCCTGTGTATATTATGCCCCATAGAAAAAGAGAATATGTGTCGACTTGTGTGGGCTCTGAACTTACCCAATAGTCCTGTTTTCTTGGGAAACTTCTTTTGCTTTCTTAAGCCTCTATTTCACCCCATACCTTGTGGGCTTGATTGGTTTGGGGTTTGTTTTTTTTAAAGAAACACTGAAGAGATGACATAGTTCATTTTGACAACCAGTTTTTAATGGAAACATATAATACATCTTCTCACATAAATATTTTATATAGACACATTTATATAGACACATACACACGCACAATACTCAAACCTATGCAATGTTCCAAAGCTCCAGTACTGTTTAAACAGTGCAAGGAAAAAAAAAATTTCATTGGCACAGGAAGAATGGCAATGTGAAGTTTCTAAAACATAAATAATCAGACTATTTCTCTTGTGTACTTACACTCCACTTAAATACCAACTGCCTCAACTTGTTAGCCAGTTGTGTTGTTACACCACAGCTGCAGGGACAAGCAGAGCCAATGCACATTCTCTAACAGCATACTGACAGCAACAGAGGTCATTCCAAGAGGGATCTGACTGCCACCCTGCTGTATAGAGAAGAGATTGCACCACCTTCTCTGGAATCCAAGCTAAGATGGCTTTGTAAATTATTATCTAATAGGATTGTTAGTGTTGAATTGCTGGCATGGTGCAGGTAGGTGATTAAGCACCAGTGTCGGATCTTTTATTTGATTTCCTTTGCATTTAGGCTGTACAGCGACCATTTGTTGTTTAGACACATACAGCCTCAAGGACAATATATCTAAATTTCAAGTCTGCACACTTGTTTTTCTTGGCTTATTATAGTGATCAAGAAGTAACTTCAATAAATCACTTTAGAAGCAGGATGCTTTTGATGAGGGAAAAAGGGTGAAGGATGGTAAGGATCAGAGCTGAGAAATAGTCTTGGGCCTGCCTATGTGATACAGCTTTCAGAAGACAGTGAAACAGAACTTCAGGCTTTCCCTTCCCCCATATATGAGAGAGCTTACAAAAAAAATAATAAAGAAAAATAAACAGCAAACTTGCACCACAAAACTCACTCTCCCCAGCTGACATGTAGAGAAGTTTTTGCATTTGCAGCACCAAGGGCTGATAAAACAGTGAAGTTTAGATTCTCTATTTCTTAAACTCAAAGGAGCCCAGGCTAATTCACAAGTCAAAAGCACATACTACTTCACTCTACTGCGACAACAAAGAGCCTCCCCATTCTCCTGAAAGTAGGGGGAATGGAAGAACTTTCCCAAACGAAAAGCTAACACTGTGTTAGGCCTCAATCTAGATTTTATTTTTTTTTTTAAAAAAAAGGTAGACTTTAAAACACCAACACACCAGAATAAATTCTCTAGTTCTTCCTTTATTACTTGACCAGGCAGGAGTATAGGGCATAAAAGCTACTAAAGTGTTCCTGCAGTTCAGGTTTCTGAGGAGGACATTACTTAATTCAAGATTTATCACCTGGCATTCTTTGCTTACTTGCCTCATTTTTAAGAGCCTAAGCTTCTGTCTGCACAAGTTGCATGCTGCTTTGCCATTGCTAAATCAGGAACCAAAATATTCATGAAGCCCTTTGCAGGCGACACCATACACAGCCCTTGACTGCCACAGTCCAGGATGAACAACAGATCCAACTTACACACCAGATTAAGAAATCCTCAAAGAAATTCAGGCTTCCAGTATAGTACGTTGGTTTGATCCTATGCATAGTGAAGTAAAAGACATATGAGGTAACTCATGTAATTGCCACCTTACTCCACCTGCTCAGCAATCCTAGACTTGGTTCTCCAGCTGCCAGTAGTGCTCAGGATAACAAACAGCAGGATGTGCAGTCACCACTGTTTCATGTACCCTCACGAGTTCAGGTCACTAAAGATGGGAGGGACAGCAAAAGAAAGAAACAGTTCTTCATATTCAGGATTTGGCAAATGATGTGCCCACTTGCCTAACAGTGAGGAGGGAATCTGACAGCTGGTCAGTCACAACATGGAATGATTTGATGCAGTGCACTATTACTAAGATATAGACATGTGCACAAATGGACCCTCCACCACCATTCTTGGAGACTCCTGCACTGTGTAGCACCAGTCTCCCCTCGCAGATGGGCTGAGGCTAAAAACAGGCAGCACCTTCCAAGCCTCCAACCAGTGCCCTTACACTTTACTCAGACTTAACTCTCTTGTCAAGCCTTCTGATCATGTAATCAGATCACTCAAGCCTTCATCAAGCCTTCTTGGAGTTGGCATTTGATAAAGGACATCTTTTACAACCCATGTTCCCTCTACTCTTGTGCTTAGGAGGTTGCCAGGGCAGGCAATGATTGTGCAAATTACACTCCAAATTTTACCGACAACAGGTAGACAGTACCCATTTTTCATATAGCTACAGTGTCACGTCTTCCTATCTAGAGAGACACCTGCTCTGTTCCTCAAGTGAATTGTAATATCCCTAGATATTCAAGAAAATAAAAGCCAAACCTATGTTTTCTGCAAGGCACACTACAGAACAGGATGCACATTTTTATGCCCAGCTTAGCCAGCACAGAGGCACAAGTGAAGAGAGAAGGAAGGTGTACTCAAGTTTGGACAGCACACACTATAAGGTCTTTGTAA